AACATAAGAGTTGGACAGTCTTCACCAGTTAACATAAGAGGTGGACAGTATTCACTAGTTATTNGAGAACGGATAGCTCGGGGGTCCTGAAATTTACAATTTAAGTAAAGCCCCTGATGATCTTTCTTTCCACATAGAGAAAATCACTGTAGTACCTCTGAGTCTGGAGAAGAAGATTTTTGAAATATTGATTAATTTTCCCTTTGGGGCCCCGCCCTGGCCCCAGGGGTTGGGGTAGGAATCCCAATTTTACAATTTTGAAGCCTCATCTACCAAGGATGATTCTGACCAAGTTTGGAAAAAATCCATCCACTGGTTCTTGAGAAGAAGTTGAAAATGTAAAAGTTAACGCACGACGGACGACGGACGACGACAGACGAAAAGCGATTAGAATAGGTCACTTGAGGCAGGCTCAGGTGACCTAAAAATGGAGAAAATTTATAGTGCTATTTTTCTTAATACTAGTAATTAAGAGAAAGTTTTTTTAAAACATGATGAGCAGAGAGCATATTTTACAGAAGATTAATTCAAACATTTAATGTTGGAAACACCCAAACAGGTATCATATTTTAGAAGACTACTAGCTCACTAATAGAAACATATGATTATAATAGTACAGTTCACAGTGCAATCTTTTTTATCTTCTAAAACAATTTATCACATAATGTTATGTGTTATACAGTGAATATACCCATGTCATATTTTTTTGCATATCAACCCATGTAATATGACCTATCAGCCTTGTGACTGCTTGCAAGTTTCAATTGTTTCAATTGTGACGTCACGCCTCGGACAATTACATGACGTCACAGACTTACACTGGAGTCAAAATAGTGGCTTTTTACATTTCAACGTTACATGAAAATTGTCGTTCTGCATGTGTGATAAATAGGATCTTAAAGTCATTTTTCATTCATATGAAATTATGAAACGTGTCACAATTTTTTTTATTTTAGCTCGCCAGAGAAAAATTCTTAAACTTGTTTCATAAATTTCATATGTAATGGAAACTCATGTAAGATCCTATATATATGTTAGTGGTTGATTTTTCCAATGTTCACCAAGTTCCTTCACAAAATTCTTAAACTATCACTGAAATGTTATAAAATACTTTGTCCAGTACATCACAAGAGAAAGGACTACTGAAATCTTGTTGACAGTATTCACCAGTTAACATAAGAGTTGGACAGTATTCACCAGTTAACATAAGAGTTGGACAGTATTCACCAGTTAACATAAGAGTTGGACAGTATTCACCAGTTAACATAAGAGTTGGACAGTATTCACCAGTTAACATAAGAGTTGGACAGTATTCACCAGTTAACATAAGAGTTGGACAGTATTCACCAGTTAACATAAGAGTTGGACAGTATTCACCAGTTAACATAAGAGTTGGACAGTATTCACCAGTTAACATAAGAGTTGGACAGTATTCACCAGTTAACATAAGAGTTGGACAGTATTCACCAGTTAACATAAGAGTTGGACAGTATTCACCAGTTAACATAAGAGTTGGACAGTATTCACCAGTTAACATAAGAGTTGGACAGTATTCACCAGTTAACATAAGAGTTGGACAGTATTCACCAGTTAACATAAGAGTTGGACAGTATTCACCAGTTAACATAAGAGTTGGACAGTATTCACCAGTTAACATAAGAGTTGGACAGTATTCACCAGTTAACATAAGAGTTGGACAGTATTCACCAGTTAACATAAGAGTTGGACAGTATTCACCAGTTAACATAAGAGTTGGACAGTATTCACCAGTTAACATAAGAGTTGGACAGTATTCACCAGTTAACATAAGAGTTGGACAGTATTCACCAGTTAACATAAGAGTTGGACAGTATTCACCAGTTAACATAAGAGTTGGACAGTATTCACCAGTTAACATAAGAGTTGGACAGTATTCACCAGTTAACATAAGAGTTGGACAGTATTCACCAGTTAACATAAGAGTTGGACAGTATTCACCAGTTAACATAAGAGTTGGACAGTATTCACCAGTTAACATAAGAGTTGGACAGTATTCACCAGTTAACATAAGAGTTGGACAGTATTCACCAGTTAACATAAGAGTTGGACAGTATTCACCAGTTAACATAAGAGTTGGACAGTATTCACCAGTTAACATAAGAGTTGGACAGTATTCACCAGTTAACATAAGAGTTGGACAGTATTCACCAGTTAACATAAGAGTTGGACAGTATTCACCAGTTAACATAAGAGTTGGACAGTATTCACCAGTTAACATAAGAGTTGGACAGTATTCACCAGTTAACATAAGAGTTGGACAGTATTCACCAGTTAACATAAGAGTTGGACAGTATTCACCAGTTAACATAAGAGTTGGACAGTATTCACCAGTTAACATAAGAGTTGGACAGTATTCACCAGTTAACATAAGAGTTGGACAGTATTCACCAGTTAACATAAGAGTTGGACAGTATTCACCAGTTAACATAAGAGTTGGACAGTATTCACCAGTTAACATAAGAGTTGGACAGTATTCACCAGTTAACATAAGAGTTGGACAGTATTCACCAGTTAACATAAGAGTTGGACAGTATTCACCAGTTAACATAAGAGTTGGACAGTATTCACCAGTTAACATAAGAGTTGGACAGTATTCACCAGTTAACATAAGAGTTGGACAGTATTCACCAGTTAACATAAGAGTTGGACAGTATTCACCAGTTAACATAAGAGTTGGACAGTATTCACCAGTTAACATAAGAGTTGGACAGTATTCACCAGTTAACATAAGAGTTGGACAGTATTCACCAGTTAACATAAGAGTTGGACAGTATTCACCAGTTAACATAAGAGTTGGACAGTATTCACCAGTTAACATAAGAGTTGGACAGTATTCACCAGTTAACATAAGAGTTGGACAGTATTCACCAGTTAACATAAGAGTTGGACAGTATTCACCAGTTAACATAAGAGTTGGACAGTATTCACCAGTTAACATAAGAGATGGACAGTATTCACCAGTTAGTTAACATAAGAGTTGGACAGTATTCACCAGTTAGTTAACATAAGAGTAAGACAGTAAAGTTTTGTAGACAAAATTTGCATTACCTGCTCGTATCATCAAAAGTCTCCTTCACTTTCTCAAAGTTATCAGTATCTTCAAGCCACCTCTTCAACTCGCTAAAACAAATATTATATTTCATATATATTTCACAAGACTTCCTATATGACAAAAAAATGTAATATTCAGATGCTTTAAATGAGCATTATAAGATAAAGATCACACTTCTTACATTGAAGAGATCCTACTGCATACTTTCAGGTATTAATGTGAAATTCTAAATCTGCATCACTTTACATCTGGGGAAAATAAGTTGATACCCACTCTGATCCCAGTGTAATACATGCCAATAAAAAGGTATCATTCCATAATTGTCTTCTAATATTTGAGCATGCAAATTTATATTATCTCTTCAAAATAATTCATTCCTTTTCCTTAGAATTCTTCTAGATACTAAATTCAATTTTAAACTAGATGAAACTCTAAACAGTAGCTTTTTGGATGTCCCCACTTTGCTGCCAGAGTAAATTGGAGCTTAAATTTTCATATTTTTTTCAGATAGGACCATGTTACCTTCCATCAATGTCTACCATTGGGGTGGAAGAGTGTGGTGTGTAAAGTATTTGTGTCACTGTGACCTGTATTTTGATCTCTGACCTACTTAATCTTGAATATATTTTTGAGGTCACCTTTTGTGATGATGTAAGCCCCATATTCAAGTAAGGAACAACATAGCAATTTGATAAGACAAAAAATGAACATTTATGAAATGTTATATGACCCAGTACAGGAGAACCGTTTTGAACACAGTTTACCCCTGATTAAGGACAGAGGTCAAAATATAGGTCAAAGTGACCTAGTTTTGGTTCATGGCACGGATTTCCCAAGATGTAACCATGTACTAACTTGGATGGTCTTACACGAAAGAGTAAAGAAGAATTGCTCCAGAAATCATTTGACTGACTTAATGCACCTGTGACTGACTCACATTTTACTTTACTTTGATACTAAATAGCTCATAAACTAACCTAGCCTTCCTGATGGAGGTGAATCTGACAACAGGAGCCCGTGACATTCCGTCTCCCACCAAACAGCACTTGACACCCCCACTTTGCTGAAAATAGCAAACAACAAACAGTCAATATTTGACAATACATTTGTATATTTGAATAAATTTACCATCAAAAAATATTGCTGAAAAATTAGCAGAAAACAATTTGGAGCTATGATTTTTTTTGCCTTGTTTAACAGCTGAAAACTGTCTGTTTCGAATTCCTCCAGGCAAAAAGTGGGTTATTTTCCTAAAATGAAAGGAAAATGTTCTGTGTTTCCAATTCATTCTAGGCACAGACTGTGGTAAACAAAACACTGCACTAGTTTGTTAGGTGTGACTGTTCAAGTCTGTATCAAGGTATGATGCAACCAATCACTAGCAGTTCTGTAGGACTGGTGTACTTACTGCTAGCGCCCTACAGCCCCTGTTAGTACTGGCCACAAGACAGCCCTCGGTGGTTGCCATGGGGACCTGGTAGTACTTGTCGTCGAGGAGAAGAGGCCCAGCCACGCCTACTGGGATTGGCATGTACCCAATGACGTTCTCACAACATGCTCCGTTCACCTGTAGCATAAACAATGTTAAAACCGTAAAGTAAATATTACATGGTTTATGTAAGTTTTTTGAAATGAATAACTCTGGGGTATAAATGATTTCATTTTTTGCAGTAATATGTAACCCTATCCTTTATGTAGAATTATCCTGAAACCATTAGCCAATCAGATTGCAGCATAGTTCAACATCATGTATGTGCTGATTTTGCAAAACATCTGCACTTGAGCTAGGTATTTGGAAATATTTATATAACCTCACTAGTAAAGTCTATGGCATCAAAATCCTATCATCCTGCAAGTTAATGACATCATTCAGAAGTTGTGATCTGGACAACGCTGACAATGTGATGATGGACAAATATTTCTATGTTGCCTGAAATCAAGTGACACGAAAAGTGTCATTCGTTATAAATACATGTTGGCTAATGTGCGTGGGTGCAGGATATGGAAAATCCAACCTGTTGGGCATTATCTAAGGTTAAAACAATACCCAAAAAAACTCAGTCCTGATGCAAAGTTTTACACTCTACTGCAGAAACTTCATATCCTAAACACCTACATATGATAGACCTCTTGTTCTCCCATACTCGTTACTAATGTAAATCTCACAAACACATAAACACTCAATTTAGACTTAATCTTTGTAGTGCAGCATAAAGATTTTATATTGAAAACTTTTATTTACAAGATTACATTGTAAATATCAAATAAGATTTGCAATCGTTGTATTATGAGTTTACATACCAAATCGTAAGGGTAATTACTGTATGGTAAGTTTTTCATGGCATCACTGTTCTGTAACTTTGTCGATACCATTCCTCTCCTGGCAAAAAATAATTTAAATTATGGAATAAAGGATGTGCAACTTAATATCTGATGGTTAAAGCAAGCCAAGTTTTAAGGAAATCTTACAAAATCAATAACCATAAACAAATGCATTTTCAATTTAAACAAGGACAAAACCACATGCAGAAATATTGTTTAAAAAAAAAAAAACACTAAACGTCACCACCTTTAAAAGGTGTTTTTTTTTTATTTCAGACCTGACTGTCAAAAGGATTGCGAAATCCTAATTTTGTCAGAATAAAATCTACGTATCCGTGTATATATTGCATCAATCTAATCCCCTTTTTAATCAAAACAAAACAGATCAAATGTATTAACGTGAAGAAAGCTAGAACAATAACCTTACCTTATACAAACACCCCTCTCATAGTCTCCTAGAACAGTTTCTAGTTTGTAACTAGGTATGTGCTTTGCCTCTACAAGCTGACAAACTTCTTCATCTGTAAGTTCATTTGGGCCATCCTGAAATATAAATTAGGGATGTTATATTTTTGGGATTAAAAAAAATAGAGGATCGATGAAAGTTTAATGAAATTTTACCTATACATTTGTATTGTCTTTGAACATCCAAAAATATATATATATATATTCAGCACAATGCTAAAAGACACTTCCTATCCCTGGTCTACACAACCTTCTCCTTTCTTAAGAAGAGTTCCTATCTGTTGCTTTCTGTTATCTAGTGAGTGATCATGACTTACGATTATGGTGTATGAGTAGTTCAAAATTATATTTTAATCAAGTTTAAAATCATATTTTAGTCAAAAGTTGAAAAAAAAAAAATTAAATATTTTTTTCTCCATAAAATTGATATCCTTCTAACAATTGAGCACTTTTGAATATCACTTCAAGGAAAAATAAAGCGACATTTGTCCAAATCAAAAATGAATATATTCCTTCTGAACGAACAGGTTTTCATATTACACAAGTTCTTTTTACACTGAAATGTACAGAAGTATCATGTTAAATATCTGGAAGTAAACAGTTTCATGGTCTTGTCTAAAAAGTTCACCCGTTGCGTACATCTGACTTGAGGATGTCCACACATTCGGCGACGGGGCGCGGAGGCTGGATAGAGGGCAGCCTTTCCAGGGGTCGGTAACCACACTCCAATAGGTCAGTCTGGGTCTCTCTACTCGCCTTCGTCTCAGTTTCCTCGTCTGAACTTTCTGTTTCACCGATAATAAATGTTGTCTTCTTCTGAGAAATGTCCGGAACTTCTGCAACAGGTTCTGAAGGCACTTCCGGAGCTGAAAATTAGAAAATATTAACTTCCTTAAATAAATATTAAAAACACAGTCAGGATAATGTTTTACTAGTAAAAAAAATAACATTTATTAATATTTAATGGCAATTCTTGTTCTTTCTATAGAATAAATGTATGTACCCATTAAGCAGAAAAACCTATGGTCATTATATACTAAACAAAGTCACAGATTTGTTTTTTTTGTAAAGTCAAGTTAGAGCTAGCTAACATTGAACAGGATGGACCATAACTAGAAACATGGTACCGGTAAGTCTGGCCCCAGACCATGTGCAAGAAGAACAGTGAATATTACGGGGGGCAAGTCTTAGGACTTGGAGCTAATTAAGAGACTTGACATAATCGAGGCCCAGACCATGTACATGAAAGGCAATAATATTGACCTGTAAGTCTTAGGACTTGGAACTAGTTAGTGACCTGACATAATCGAGGCCCAGACCATGTACATGAAAGGCAGTAATATTGACCTGGTAAGTCTGTGGACTTGGAACTTTAGATATGACATAGTCTTGGCCTGGACCATGTACAACAAGGACATTTAAAATAGACCTGATTAGTCAGTAAACACTAAATCTAAAACATCAAAGCTTTGGCCAATGCGCAATACTAGAATTGTTATAGCTATGGGTTATATATTTATAATCTCACATGAGTTTCCATTTCATATGAGATTTATGAAATGAGTCTAAGAATTTTCCAATTTAGCGAGCCTCTGGCGTTTCATAAATTTCATATGAAATGAAAACGAGTGTAAGATTCATTTTATCACATAATCAAGATTTGTGGCATTTATCCGTGTAGAATGACAATTTTCACGCAACCTTGAAATGTAAAAAGCTGCCATTTTGACTCCAGTGCGTAAGTCTATGATGTCATGTACTTGTCCTAGGCGTGACGTCACAATTGAAACAAATGAAACTTACAACCAATCACAGAGCTTATAGGTACATTGGTTAATATGCAAAAAGATATGACATGTGTATATTCACTGGATACATTATGTGATAAATGTATTTACCTGGTAAGTCTGTGGAACTAGAGATCTGACGTAATCTGGACCCAGAACGTGTACAAGATGGACAAAGTCTGCATGGTACATCCACATCGTCATCGAAGAACATGTATTTGGCAGTGAGGAAGACCGCCAGCACCAGTGTCACCATCAGGTCAGCATTGACGGTCAGCTGTCTGTAACGTGACACAAAAATAAACAAATTTATACTACAAAACAAATCTTCATATCATAACTTGACTACCCGGTAAAACATTTCCGAGAGGTAAATCTGAAGCATTGGGAATACAGAGAATATTTAGTGGAACAACACTCTCTTTGAGAACAATTCAACTTAAAGAGTGTGCTGTGTTCCAATTCATCATTGTGATAAAAACCATAAATGAGTATAAATGCATATTCAGCAAAAAACCTTTTACATATTCTATCTGATGTCTACACTGCAATCTAGACACAACCTGAATACTTCAGTTTGTGCTGTTACTTGTGTTTTTATTTTTTGCCAAGTTATTCCTTTTTCCTGTTTGAATATTAATAACAGAGAATTGTAGTTTATTTAATCTCTTATACCATAATATAACTGTAATATACAGGATTGTTACTTTATAGTGAAATATTTTATAGAGTCCCAGGTTCACAAAGCTTCTTGGCTTAAAGTTCTCCATTCCCAACATTTATTTTTATTTTCAAGGGCTATATTATCTCATATTTTTATTATTAATTTAGCAAAACATTCAAAAAAAAGTTTAGATGAAACCTCTTTAAGTTTAGATGAAACCTCTTTACTAAGTCACTCTGGAACATTGGAGATGAAATTTGAAATTTATGAATATTTAAGTACTGACAAACAATCTTAGGTTTATTAGGCTTTGTGTTACTTGGCCTTATTGTTTTAAATACACTATACATCAAAACCTAGATATAATGCCCCACAGTTTGTCTTTACAATTCAGAAAACGTATTCCCCAATGTATCGCCAAATCCAGACGTAATGCTATATTCTGATGGACAGATAGTGGCGGGATTACAAAATTCACTGTACTTACCTTTGTATGTGATACTGCCAGAAGTCCATGTCAGGGGTCAGTTCATCATTCTCAGACATCTGACTGGCAGTCATGACACCGCCAAAGCCCTCTGCCTTGCTTGTTTCCTTGCCTAGACGACTGTGTATGTGAACCATCACCAGGCCGGCAGACTGTTCAAAGGGAGATAATTATCATTCGATAGATAAAACAGGAACACCTTTGGTACAGAAATTAAAAAATCTCAACTGGGCTTAAAAATGTCAATTCATGTAAATGTAAAATTGTATATATATATATATATATATAGTAACACAATTATTTTATAATTTTATTATTTTATAATTATACCCGCTGCAATTGCATACCTCAACGATGTTGACTCACTGTGTGACTGACAGGATATTTTACAACATGGAGTTTAACTTATGATCACTTTGTGACTTGGGTGTAGTTTTTACCATGTTGAGTTTGATTAGTAATGACGTGAGTTGATGAGATTGCCTTGCTTTGTTACTAAGGGGTGTTTTTTACCATAAAGTTTTGCCATGATATTTGATGTGATATGACTGGAGATGATGAGTTTGACTCACAGTGTTATTGCAGTGTAGTATATTTACTGTGGAGAGTATGACTCACTGTGTGACTGGGCTATAGATTTTACAATGAGTATGACTCAATGTGACTGAAGTAGATGAGTTTGATGTGCTGTGTTACTAGAGTGAAATATTTACCATGATGAGTTTGACTCGCTGAGTGACTGGGTTTGGGGTCTTCTCCTTTTCCTCAGCCTCCAACATTTTTGCCAGTTGCTGTAGGTGTCGGAGTGGCTTGCCATGGTTCCTCTCGCGTGTCACTTCTAGGACCAGGGCCAGACATGCTGGGTAGAATGTCAGAAACACTAGCAGGTTAGCCAGCACAGACAGACACCCAAAGCATGCCATCAACTCCAGCTGTTTAACACCTGTCAACATAAACAACCAGTAAACAATATCAACAGACAGTCTGGTAAACAATGTCAACACAACAGACAGTCTGGTAATAATGTCAACACAACAGACAGTCTGGGAAATAATGTCAACACAACAGCTATTCTGGTAAATAATGACAACACAACAGATAGTCTGGTAAATAATGTCAACACAACAGACAGACTGCAGGTAAATAATGTCAACACAACAGCTAGTCTGGTAAATAATGTCAACACAACAGACAGTCTGGTAAATAATGTCAACACAACAGACAGTCAGGTAAATAATGTCAACACAACAGCTAGTCTGGTATATAATGTCAACACAACAGATAGTCTGGTAAACAATGTCAACACAACAGACAGTCTGGTAAATAATGTCAACACAACAGACAACCAGTTAACAATATCAAATGACAGACAATATGGTAAACAATGAATGTCAACGCAACAGATAACCTTGTAACAATGTTGACAAAATACACCACCTGGTAAACAATGTCAAAACAATAGAAACTTAAATATATATACCGACAGGAAAACGTTGTCAACACAGGCTAAAAGTTTAAACATTTGGTCATTTATCTGGTATGTTCACAGTTGTTGCCATATTTATTAATGTCACATGGTCCACAGCTTACACTTATCCAGTACAGATCATGCATGCTCTTATGCATACATATAAAGAAAGTCCAACAATCAAATGTTTCATAACTGAACCTTCTTTGGTTTTATTTTGTTTAACGTCCTGTCAACAGCTAAGGTCATTTAAGGAACCTTCTAGGAACCATACAGTTTACACAAGCATATTTTCAGTGTAACAGACTGACCTTTACCATCAAACCAAGACAACCAATACTGACTTAGCCGACCAGTTGTAATACAAACTTTCCTTACCTGACAAGGTACCAACACCAATGACCAACATCTCCACAATGGCATCTAGGGTAATTGACGGACCAAGCTCGCCCATCCCCGTAGCAATATTCTGCTGTACCTCCTCCTGACTAGTGGAACTCACAGCAAACCGAGCTAAAGCACATGCCTTGGATAGGTCTACCAGGAGGAGAAATAGCGGAAGAGCTTCACTGAAAAAAATAATTAAAAGCTATTATTCACTTTTGTGCTCCTTATTCTTTTCCGCACTACTTTTTTTTCTAAAATGTTCAATTTTCTTTTCTGTTTTTAGTTATTTTTTACCCCCATTCTTAAATACAAACCAACTGTCGGTCTTTATATAGTGGGCGAGTTCGATCTTCAACCATTTACCATAGTCAGGCTGTTACACCTAATGTGCTTACACACGCTGGTAAGCAACAACCAATCATTGCCTTGCTTTCGAATAATTATGCATGCGAAGACGACCACTAGTTGCTCTGCTCTGACCAAAGGAAATCGGTAGGTTGTACTATAGTGGCCAGGCATGTGCACCATAACTTCTTGTTTCTATACACATGCGCAATACACATTAATAACGTGAGTTTGATCGTACTCTTGTTAAACCACAGTCACTATAGTTGATGATCCAACTCGTCCATTGCCAACCCCTTGGTAATGCTATATTTATTGCTAAACAAATAGTGACAGTGTAAAAAGGTTCTACGGTGGCAGAGTAACTGCAATGATTTGCTTTCCATGACTTATCACAATTCTACAGATCTTGTACAAAGATACTATGCTTACCTTAAGCCAGTAAGATCCTTCTTAAATATCTTGATGACAGCTACACTAAATATAAAGCTGGAGCAGAGGGTGAAAACTCCAGACACACCTGCAATAATAAATGGGCAAATTGAAGATTTTTGAAATAACACTTTTTTTTCTGTTTAGGTATGGTATTTGTACCACAGTGTTGAACTCTATGTTTTATTTATCACTCTCACAATTTACCTTACTACTGACAAGTTACCGGTATCTCAGTAACACTAGATGGAGTTCAAGTTGAGATTTATATTCATATACATTATATGTGTATGTCGACAATTTGTTCAAATCTTTCAGTGGTTCTTTGGAAGAAGTTGAAAATATACCATTGATGGATATATACAGATAACAATATCTTACACGAAGTCCGAGCCTTTGGCGAAGGTGTGGTAAACAAGTCCAACATTTTAAAATGATTTATTTGTGTTTAACAAAAAATATCTATCATGCTATAGACATCAGTCTGGTTGGACCCACCATCCTGGTACCCCGTAATTCTATCGGTGTCTTAAAGACACTTAGGATTTTCGGTATGTTCAAATGGGATATTTAAGTGTGTTCGAGTGAGATAAAATCATTAGGGTTGGAGGTAATAACTTGGGTCAGTCAGGGAACTCTGAAACATACATATCTTTTGAGCCTTTGGTCTAAATTTTCATAATGCTATCTTGGACAAATATTTTATCATGTACAATTTTTTTCTCCTTTTTTTGGGGGGGGGGAGGGAGATGCTGCTACTGACTAACAGATTTGTGTCACTCATTTATATTATGCCCGTACTCACCTAATAGATAATGAGAGCCCAGTCTCCTCAGACTACGGAACTGTAGGTAAACATACACAACTGCTAGACATCTGGCTATGGATACGATAATTATATCCAGACTTTCTGTTTCCTACAAACAAAATACTGAATAAAACATCTTAAGTATTAAGTAACTACAGAGAAATTATTTCTGAAATATTTCTTATTTCTAAAAATTCATTGATTTGAAAAAAAGAATATATGATTTCAAGAACACTATGAACAGAAATAATATCAATGTTAGATGTACCAGGGATGTGTACTACACATCACTGGATGTACTATTTGAAAACATTTTTGTTTTCATAAAAAAAACAAACACAAATACCAGGTATGGTAGTCAAACACATGGTATAAATATAGACAAGTTAAATGTTCCAAAACATCAATCCCTTTTTTTGTATTTTATTCGATGGTTTATAGCTACCAATATAGTGGAAGCACACATATTTGGAACACAGAATGAGATATAGTAGATTACTATATATATACCTGACCCGGAGGAGACACATGGAGGATGTCTCCGATTGCCAACATGCCCATAGATACCACACACACAGTGACAGTCAAGGTGCCGATGATCACCTCCAGAGGATGGCTGGCACACAAGTACCCGTGCCCGCGGAAATATTGCTCAAACATCTCTTCCATCTTCTCTCAGTAGCAGTTAAACCTATACAACAAGTGAATATTTATTATTTTATAAAACAAGAATGTAATGTTTTATTGTTTTCATTCAACTCAATTTTTATAACTCATTCTGACATCAGAATCCCTGTACCATTGCCAAAAACTGTAACTACCCCCCAGGTATGTGTTGGAAGGTGCGGGGGTTTATGAGAAATAATAAAGTTGAAATAAAGATGGATATAACTGTAGCACATTTGGGCTAGTGCACTTCTGTTGACATTAAGTCACATTGTAGGTCAATCTACAAACTACAAAGTCAATGCATAACAATCTGAAGTTCACGGTTTGAATATTCACAATCCAGCCCCTATTGGTTTTTTCAACACCTTTTGTTGCCCTTGTTGATTATATTATACTCTTTTTTTTTTATCTCAGCTTTATTATTTTTCATAGAAAGTCCCGCAACTGGTGCAAAGTAACTTAAGAAATTATTGATCAAGGCTGTAGTCTTGCCGGATAAAAACAGTTCCCAACACTAAGTTTCAGCTAGGCCAGTGCTACCAGGATCCCGAAGCATCTACTTATGTCATTATATATGTTGTTGCATAAGCCGACTCGGTAAGGTCATTTGGGCCGAATTGTTGATAGTGATACGGAGACTGGGAGAGTGAATTTTAGCGAAATTTTCTCATTGGTGTCTACTGGATATCCTCATTATACTGTATAAAAATATAATAAACACATGTATGCTTACCTAAACATTATATCTTCGTTGAACCTCCCCTCGTCAAATGCTGTCATAAATATGAAAAACGTCCTAAAATGACTGCTATATATAACATCGTGTATTATTACTAAAAATATACTGCGGGATGTCACTTCCGTATCCGGACAGAGTTATTCGCAGTTTTTAACGATAGTTTCGTATTCACTGAAAGACGTTGCGCGGGAATGTGGGAATTGCTTACAACATATTGTAGCCCTACAGTCGACATTCTAGAATACCAGAGCTTGTAGGAATAAAAAAATAAATATATACATGTATTCTTTGGTGTTCTGTAACTATCTGAAGAGTATTTATGAAGTTTAAGAGGGGATTATAATCGGGAAACTTGCCGACCGGATAAAGTTAGTTGATGAGATTGACCACGGACTTAGATAATCTAATTCCGTGGATTGACGAAACATCATATTAAGAAAATCCATCTGGTGTACACTTCAGGCAATTAATCTAGTAAGATGAGCTGCAATATAAGTCATTTCCAAGCAGACACGTATATATATATATATATACTAAAGTAATTATAAGTGACTGAATACTTTCATTGTTGAAATTCGTTCTATCTGTGTGTGTAACAGTAGTTAAACTTTCCTGTGAAACATAATCAGATACTGTGGCATCATTGAATGTCCATGAAATATGAAAATGGCAAATTACAATGTACAACCAGAGACATATTTGGTACTCCAACAGTTTTAGAGGTTTACACGGCGAGATACTTTTGACAGATCGCAGTCGGCAAAATCATATCTGATAGTAAAAAGGCCGACCAGCGGTCTCTTAATTATGTTATAGGAGTAACGTCTCTGGTACAACCACGGAAGTAGATTACAACTTAATTAAGGCTGTGGTATTTGTGTAACTAGATTATGGAAAGAATTTTTCTAGGGGTTTTTCTACTAACGGGGACACATATAGCTATAGCCCTTGTTCGGAGTGGTTTCAATTTGGAACAGGGCCACGGCGGCAGGGCCTTGTTAGGGGGTGGGTACTTGACAACAAGCAGTGTTTTTGTTTCTGTTTGAACATTTAGTGGAGCTACGCGCCTGTCTGGCACGTTCGTCATTGGCAAAAGCATCCTCTATACTCCAGGGGTTACGCTTTACTTACGTATACGCTTTCTGCACCCCTGGGATATTTCATAGCAAAATTAAAGGCTTGACACTCATTGAGTGTGCAACACATTGTGGAAGAGACGAAAAGACTAGTTCAATCCTTTGATATACAATGTACACCAAGAGAATCTGGACCAGTCGTGCACTCGCGGCGATTGACTGGCTTTTAAGTTGGGCACGCTCTTCTGTAATCTTCAGACAAGTATCACTGATCATAGCGATTGGCCAGGGATTTATTTATACCTGAGACCTTAGTGATTCTTCCTATGACATGTTCCAGGGGTGCAGAGAACGAAAGTGAGCGTAATCCCTGGAGTATCGAGGATGCCTTGGAATAGTCATGAAGCAATCGATATAAGCAAATTAAATAGTGCCATTATTTGCTTGGCTTTCTGTATTGACTTAAAACATGTTTACACGGTGCTTCCTTTTTTCGCATTGTAGTAACTATTATCACGGAATTAGATTATTTTAGTCCGTGCTATTATTCATGTATGTGACAAGATGGTTGGCTCTGCTGCATGATGGACGATCGGTCCAAAGGACGACCGTACCCTCCTAGCTAGGATCCCGAATGATTTACATGATTGCTAATTAACGGCATATGGTGCACTTTTATTATTTTGTTTTTCACAGTTTACAAGAAGTACCAGATTGAAAGTAAATGAAAATTGACAATTTTGTAGAACATGATCACCCTGTTGGTTCCCATTTCAACTGCCGTAGCATGTTTGTGACACATCCAGGATCTCTGGTGTAATAGTTCCCAATGGTGAATCTGGCAGCCTGGCATTGAACACTCTCGAGATGCTGTATCTGTTATGCCAAACATTAGATGCATACTCAAGGAGAGGCCTGACAAGTGTTGTGTAGGCCTGTGCCTTGACTTCCTGTGATCAACTAATTAGATTCCTCCTTAGTAATCCAACAGTTCTTGCAGCTTTGGCTGATGTTTGGCTTACATGCTCTCGCAATGAGAGGTCATGGTTAATGTTTGCTGCTTGGGACAATTTCTAAGTCATAGCCATGAAGGTGGTAACTGACACGGACTGGCTTTCGTATGATTTGCCAGTCGTTCTCCCATTTCTCTAGTGCTACCAGATCTTGTAGCACTGCTGATTCGTTACTGCTATTAATTGTGCCATATATTGAGCAATCGTCGGCAAAGAGCTTCGCTTGTGAAGACAGGAGGTTATTAATAAAGGCCAAGAATAGTAGGGGCCCATGACAGTGCCTTTGGGCACCCCGGATGTTACCTCTGCCTCTGCTGACTTCTACCAAGACATGTTGTTTCCTGTTGTTGAGGAAGCTTTGGATCCAATCCAATGTAGATCCATGGCAGTGAAACTTTGCGAGAAGCCTTTGGTGGGGGAATTCGTCGAAAGGCTTTTGCAAAGTCGATTAGGATGACATCTATTTGTTTGCCTTCAGAAAATCCTCTTACCAGGTCGTGTACTGTGGCTATCAATTGCATCTCGCATGACGGCCCCGCCGGAATCCACGTTGAACATCAGTCAGGATTTGCACGATGGTTATCAAAGTGGTCCATGATGTTGGAGTGGAGGATGTGTTCTATCACTTTGGAGCATATAAATGTTAGCGACACCGGCCGAAAGTGAGCAGCTTCACTCTAGTAACATTTTGAATATAGGGACAACATTGGCCATGTTCAAGTCCACAGGAATTTGACCTTGGGACAGGCTGGTCTGGTAAATGAGCGCGAGGACTGGGTCAATCCTCATGGAGAGCTCCTTAAGGAGTCGATCTTGAACGAAGTCTGGTCCGGTAGCCTTGTGGGGTTGCAGGTTCCTCAGTTTATCTCTTAACTTCTGTGAGTAGTTGTACTGATGGAGTCAATGGAGGCGTATGGGCTGGAACTCCTGTCTTTTGCTTTTGTCAGAGGACCAGCATTTCTTGGGGCTTTGCTTGGCCTCTGGGCAAATAATGTTGTACACATCAGTGTTATGTGCCCTTCGGATGGTCTTCTGGCATGTTGACTTCTGGTGTTTGTAACGCCTCATATCTCTGGCTTTGCCCGTCATGACGGCTTTTTCAAAGGCTCCGTTTTATTGTCTGGTTAAGCGTCTAGTATGGGTAACCATCCAGGGGTTGGTAAGTCTTGAGCGTGTGTGTTTACGTTGGATGTGCTTGTCCATTAATGGTAATATATAGTTCCTGAATGCAGTCCACATTGTGTTGATATCCTGCAATTCTTCAGCTTTGAATGAGTTTACAAAGTGAACCTTGTCATTTTTCAAGTTGGGGAGATTGCCTTTGTCCCACAGATGGATCTTTCTTTTATCTGGTTTAATCCTCATTGGTTGAGTGACTGAGTCAACCAATACTAAGTTATGGTCTCCAACTCCAGGGATTGATTTACATTAACTTACCAAAGATGGATTGCTAGTAAAAAAGAGGTCAGGGATCTTTGTGCCTCGGGTTGATGATTCAACCATCTGATCCACTCCACACTGACTGGGGATGCTTAGGTAGACATTGCACATACTCCCGGGATATTGGCAGGAGATAGTGAGGGCCAGTCAGGATAAATGTCAGGCACGTTGAAGTCTCCTCCAATCCAAAATTCACATTTCTGATGTTCATGTCTTAGGGGTTGAGTACATCCTCGGCCAAGCGTGCAAAGTCATCAGAGGTCATGTTAGGTGGTCTATAGAAGACTGAAATAATCGTGGACTTAAATCTATTGATCTGAAGTCTCACACTCACATCATCTCCAATTCCTTGTTTGTTGAGATTGGTGTATACACCAAGTCATTCTTGACCGTAATCAACACTTCATCATGCATGGGAGTCTCCTGTTTCTCTTACCCTGGACAGGTGTATCCGCACTTTTACCGGTGTGAGATTTCCTTGTCTCACCCTAGGGTTGAGATGGGGGGATTCTCCTATTCATAACAATGGCATGACGTCACTTCAACAATACAATGACGTCACGTCAACAATCCGCCGTCACGTCAACCCTGAATTTAGCATGTAACGTTATCGTTACAATGTGTATATGATACACAATGGGAGAACAGGGTAAGAGAAAAAGAATCATTCACCCCCTTGTGGGTGAGATAGGGGAATCTCCACCCTCGGGAAAAGATTCTTTGGCAACTTAAGAATCTTCCCCTCGCGTTGAGATTCTCCTATCTCTCCCTCCCCCCCACACACACACACAAGGGGGTGAAAGACTCTATTATTCTCCTATACTTGCCCGTGAAGGACAGGAATTGACCCATAAAAGATAAACCTGTCTTTCCTTTACACACGCTTTCACGTCACTCCATCAGTGATTAATTGATTAATGGAATTATTGCTGCCAGGCAAGTCCGCCAAATGACGTCGGCATTTGAAATAGTTACATTGTTATAAGTATAAGATATATTAACTGATATACTACAATTGTTGGATTATAAAATAAAAATATTGGTAATGTTGTGCTTTAAATGGACTTCTGATTTTATGTTCATGCAGGGCTTTGCAAAGCCTCGTGCTAGACAGCCAAACTCTTACCCTCAGTTTGAAATTTCCCAGTCTACGAACCACACCCATGTAAGATTCTATTTATCTTTCCTGGAGACATTGTAGTTGCCAGGGAGCACTTCTAAGGAGAAGATGTCACTGTTTAACCATGTCTCGGCACCGAGGATCACGTCTGGGTCGGCGTTTTCAATAAGTACTTGTGTATCTGGATCTTTGTTCTTGATAATTATTTGGAAATTGAAAATCAGTGTACGGAGTGATCTGTGAGTTTGTTTATGTACTGGACCTTGTCATGTACATGGTGAGGATGTGGCTCTTGAGGCTCCCTATAGAGGAGGAAGGGCTGTCTAGATTAATTTCATGTGTGGAGGATGTTGACAAGCTCACAAAACTATTGGTGTCTACAGTAATGGAGTCATAAGGTTTAGTCTAGTTTGGGGTGTTACAAACACTTTATATCCATGTTGTTGATGAATTGGCCAAGTGGTCAAAATCTGCTGTTGACATTGCCATGAAGGATGTGTGGCACCGTTTGTTGCAGGCTATGGGACTTTGGGGCATAGGGGCCAGGATTTACTTCTTTTTGGCTGCTTAAGAGTAGGAGGACCTTAACTGAGGTGTTCAGAGCAAATTTTCCTGTAAAAATGCCAACCCTAATGAAATGGTATATAGGATAAGGGAGGAAAGCTCTATCGATGTCGAAAATCGACCCCACCTCATTTTCTTTCATCACAAACCATACTTTTATCTGATGTACAAAAAAAAATGCTTAGTACCTTTGGAAAGATGTATAATTTGTCTTTTAGAAACTTCCTAAAGAGCTAATGCATGCAAAATGTATTCTCCTGGCGCAGGCATGACATCCGTTTCCTCAGACATCACGTGCACTATTTCCATCTTTTATTTTTTTGTTTATTTCAGTCATGGAACTCCTATACCTTCAAATTGGGGGTAGCATTTTCACCAAAAGTTGATGTACACCACTGAAACGTGTGAAATTACTCTGAACACCTCAATCTAGGTCCAAATATGGCCGTAACAAATTCTCAGGTCTGAAAGTTTAATATTTGGCCTGTTATGTGGTACTCAAGTCATCATACCATGCTCAGCCATTGTGTAGTCTTCTTTATGTTGAACTTCACCAGCTAATCACACAAGAACATTTAAATAATTTTTAAACTTCACCAGCTAATCAGACAAGAACATTTTATTAATTTTTAACTTGTTTTAATGATATCAATCATTCATAGATGTAACACAATTACAGAAAAAGAATGTTTTTATATCATTTGAGAGGACAGAGCTGAATGCCGTTTTAAATGCATACAAAAAAGTCTCATAAATATACAGTACATCAACAAAAATATATACGTAGCGATCTGTATTCCAATACACCACTGTTGAAATGCAAAAAATAGGTAATCATGACTTTTTTCAAGGTTACTTCAGATAAACCGGTAAACATTTTGAATTTTTTTATAGCAGAAGTCATATCCCACTGCAATTGCATCGACACAAATGGCGAGTTTGAAGACATGTAACATGTAACTTTATTTCAAGATATGCTCCAAAATGGATGTATTTTAGATATGTTTCCAATGACAACTCTCTCATTTTTTTTTTAGAAAGGAGAAAATACCGAAAGAGCATGATCACTGTGGAAAGTTTGATGATGGAATTTGTAAAAACTTTTGAGATATGCTCTGGTACCGCAAATATACACCAAAATGTACATACATCTTATTAAAGATGCAGTTTCCATGACAAGTCACAAACCCAACATTTATACACCATTTAGTTCCCTTGGCCCAGGAATGATACATACCAAATCCTTGAGCCATTCTGGAGTAGTAGGCTTTTAAAAGAAAATTGATGGATGGACAACAGATAGATCCTGTGCTACAGTGTATTCTCACAACAGATCATTGACTCATACATGAATAGTATATATTAATAGGATAGCACTTAATAATTAACAGGTATGAGCTAGGTAGTTAAATAACTATATTTTAATAGTTTTATCCCATTCCAAGAGTTGTTAATACTCTTAAATCATGATGGCATTCCAGAAACTAATGTATTAAGATCATAAAAACGTATTTGATAATTTTTACTTCATAACAATTTCTTACATACCATTTATAATCAAAATAATTTAAATAAAATTGAATCCTGCCCACTACTACTGATCAAGATTCTGTTCATCTCTTTTAATCTACACAATAGGTCCATATATCACTTATTGTTGCATTCAATCATGAGAAAAGTCAACCTTAAATATATATTTCAGTGTGTGCATATTTTCACTGCCGTGATAAATTTGCTCTCATTACGGAGGGCAAAAAAAGGCGAAAGTTAAACTTTGGTAAAAATTTCCCACTATCCAGGTATACAAGGATCTTGTATCGCCAATGAACAAGTGTTCATTTTCCTGACTATGAGCTGCTTGCCTGTTCACAATCGCAAAGATGAGAGAAAAATATACATATAGGTATGTGTATATTATACACGTATATTGTATTTTTTTCTTAAAATGACCCGAACCTATAATTGTCTTTGCATTAAAAAAAAGGAAAAGTAGCATGAATTTAGCATGAAATAATGTTTTCAATGTCTGCATGCTGTACAAGAGTGGTCAGACTATAAATATTACCTGATAGGTATTCTATACAATACAATCAAGGTATTCCATACAATACAATCAAGGTATTCCATACAATACAATCAAGGTATTCCATACAATACAACCAAGGTATTCCATACAATACAATCAAGGTATTCCATACAATACAATCAAGGTATTCCATATAATACAATCAAGGTATTCCATACAATACAATCAAGGTATTCCATACAATACAACCAAGGTATTCCATACAATACAATCAATGTATTCCATATAATACAATCAAGGTATTCCATATAATACAATCAAGGTATTCCATATAATACAATCAATGTATTCCATACAATACAATCAAGGTAATCCATATAATACAATCAATGTATTCCATACAATACAACCAAGGTATTCCATACAATACAATCAATGTATTCCATGCAATACAATCAAGGTATTCCATACAATACAGTTAATGCCCTTGATGTCTATGATAATCTATTAGGTAAAGGGGATATACATACCTTGTATCCTGTATACAGTTTCAACAAAGACTGAAAGGGCAGCATTACATGGAACTAAAAGTTTTATTTCATAAACGTTTGTTATTTGGCAATCCACTGTATCTTAAATACAGGTAAAACAATGACTGATAAAGAAAGGATATCAAACTCTTATCAATTAACATATTTACATATATACATGTATATGAAAAAAAAATTCTACAAGTTCAATAAATAGATACGGGTTTTGTGGAGAAAGAAATAATTGGATATTTTGTTCATCTCACACATCAGAAAAAATATTTGTATTGGCAGATTTTATCAAGATCTGGACATGAAAAGATGTGAGAGCGAAAATGGTTCAAAATACCACCAGTTTTGTCTGTGACGTCATCACTCTGCTGGCTATATCTGTAGGTGATGTCATCATATTGTTTGTTTTTTTGTCTGTGACATCATAACATCGTTTACTTTTTTTCCTGTGACATCACCAGGCTACAGTAAATGTATGACATATATCACCTTTAGCATGTCGAGCATACAACTTCGAAATCCAATAGTTCTAATCTCCGTACACATATCTATGTGTCATGACAAAATTGAAGGCTCGCAGTTAGCTATTTGATTGGTTGATAGCCTGATACTTGTCCTTTGAAGAGTACAGAGGAGCTGCACAAAACTCCAAAGCCGGTTGATTTTACCATAACACTGCCATTGGGATTCCTTCATCTTCATCAAAGACATTGGACTAGTCTGCTTGTATCATCCCCAAGTTATTGCATCAAGAGCCTCCCAATTTGTCATGACATATTCCCAGGGATGTTGACGGGAGAAAAGATATGTTAACGAGAGTGGAGACGTTGTTTTCGATGATCGTCAAGTAAATGTAGTTACACCGGAACTAAAGCTGTCACTTCACTTACTGCCTGATCTGTCAACTTTGGCATTGCTGTGACTTGTGAAGTTCTAATTCTTAACTTCGTGAATTTCACTTTCCAATTGTTGTCGAAACGAGGGTCTCTGAGTAGACCGAACAGTTGCTCAAACTCGCCCAAGCAGTCGTTGCTTCTGTGGACCGTCCCGCAAACAATTAGCACAAGTTGTCCGTGAGGATTGGACTTGACATGTAATCCCTCCTCACTGATGTTAGGATTAAATAGCAGCTGTTCATCTTTGACGAGAGATAACAACCTCTGTGTGGTCGGTTCTGCACCAGTGATTTCCTCTTCAACTGGATGTGGGGTCAAGCACAGCAACTTGAAGTTCACATCTGGCCAGAAATGATGGGGACCAAAATCTTCTGACGTATTAGGTAACATCGGGTTCTGTGAATTTAACATTTCATAAAACCAAGTGGCAAAGGCTACTCCTACTTGGTCTGATAAAAGCGATGTAGCAGACGGAGAAGCTATATTTATAGTAATGGATATATTGGGTGGTGGAGAGGCAGAATGAGTGTGAGCCTGAGGTTCGGCCTGTGGTCGGGGTTGGTATGCTGTTAGGACATCCTGCTGTGATTGTCCGACTGGTTTTACGCCTTGGACATCATTCTGAAATTGAAATGCTTAATTTTGAACATAAACAAGAGTACCGCGGTGCGGAACAATATACGCCCGTCGAATGCCATATAGTGTTATATACTTTCTTACATTGAAATAAGATCTGCATCATTCTAAGAGTGGTTAGCTGACATGCTATAAAAAATGTAGGAGAAAATCTCCAGACAAAAAATCAAATACTGAAATGAACAAAGGGCAATAACTTTTGCAAAAATCGTTGAATCAAAATTCTTTTAAGGGAGACACAACTTCATATCATGATGATAATGTATACCAGGTTTCAAAGAGATCCATAGAAAAATGTAGGAGGAGATTGCTGGACAAAAATCAAATACTGAAATAAACAATGGGCAATAACTTTTGCAAAAATTGTTGAATCAAAATTCTTTTCAATGAAACACAACAATATATTATGATTATTTAGCCTACAAAGCTGCAAAGAAATCCGTCAAAAAATTTAGGAGGAGATTTCCGGACAGAAAATCAAATGCTGAAATGAACAAAGGGCTTTTGCAAAAATCGTTGAATCAAAATTCTCTTACGGGAAACACAGCTTTATATCATGATTATAATGTATACCAAGTTTCAAAGAGATCAGTTGAAAAATGTAGGAGGAGATTGCCAGACAAACAAAAGTTTACGCCAGACGGCCGGACGGCCGGACAGACAAACCCACTAAATTAACTTCAAAATCAAAGCCTGCAAATATAATTTAAATATTGCTTCTTACCCAAAATAAATGGCAACTCATATAATACAACCCACTAGTGGTGGCAACTTAATACCAAAAATAAATGGTAACTTACAAAATTTCAATAATATGAAACATTATAAATGGCAACTCTATCAAATCACATCACAACCTAATTTAATCCTAATATAAATTTAGCAATTTACCCAGTATTAATCTTAAATTTAGGGACTTTTAGGGTCTTTTCATCAACTTTAGGGCTTTTCAAGGCCTGAAAAAAACTGGTAAAATCACCTGTTTTCCATTTCCATACAGTAAGGACAAATTGGGTCACAACCGTAGTGACTACCATGAGCCAAGCTTTAGACAGATAGATGGCCTAGTCTGTCATGATCATCACTTTTCCTCTTGCCCTGACACCAGACTTAGACATTTTGACAAAAAGATGGCCTAGCCCGCATTTCTTCTATAGCCCTGACAACAGACTTACACATTTTCACAGATGGATGGCCTTGCCCGATTTTCCTCTGCCCTGGCCCTGACATCAGACTTACACATTTTCACAGATGGATGGCCTAGCCCGAGTTTCCTCTGCTCCTGACATCAGATTTAGACATTTTGACAAATAGATGGCCTAGCCCATTGCCAAGTTTCCTCTGGACCTGACACCAGATTTAGACATTTCAACAGATAGATGGAGCTAGCCCGAGTTTCCTCTGGCCCTGACACCAGACTTACACATTTTGACAAATAGATGGCCTAGTCTGAGTTTCCTCTGGACCTGACACCAGATTTAGACATTTTGACAAATAGATGACCTAGCCCAAGTTTCCTCTGGACCTGACACCAGACTTAGACATTTTGACAAATAGATGGCCTAGCCCGCGTTTCTTCTATAGCCCTGACACCAGACTTACACATTTTCACAGATGGATGGTCTAGCCCGATTTTCCTCTGCCCTGGCCCTGACATCAGACTTACACATTTTCACAGATGGATGGCCTAGCCCGAGTTTCCTCTGTCTTGACATCAGATTTACACATTTTCACAGATAGATGGCGAGTTTCCTCTGGCCCTGATACCAGACTTAGACATTTTCACAGATAGATGGCCTAACCCGAGTTACCTCTGACCCTGACAACGGACTTAAGACATTTGACAGATAGATATTGAGTTTCTTCTGGCCCTGACACCAGACTAACACATTTTGACAGATAAATGTCTGACATCTATCTGTCAAAATATGTAAGTCTGGTGTTCGGGCCAGAGGAAACTCGGGTTGACATCTATCTGTCAAAATGTCTAAGTCTAGTGTCAGGGCCAGATGAAAATTTCAGCTAGCTTGTACCCAAGTATGGCTTTCCAATTCTGTTGAATCTTCAACAAATACAATCCTCTGAATGCAATTCCACAACACAAGACAACGGAAAAGACGGTCATCAATACCTGATTCTTTTGACTTGATCTGGATTTCCAAAACTTGATGATGGCATTGATGAGTGTGTCCTTGGAAGAGTTGACAGATACAACAACATTGCTGTCCGCTAAATACTGGAAGAGGACGTCTCGCTTGAGTTTCTTTCTATGGAGAAGTTCAAAGGCAGACTCACTGTAGGCCACAATGGCACAGATATGTTCTGGGGGAAAAAAGAAAAATAACATAAAATTTGCTGAGATTGTTATCCAGCCACAGGAATTGTATATGTGATGCATAGAAGTACAAATGTAGAAGTCACAAAATATGAGGGAGAAATACTGCCTGTTGGTCAGTACAAACTATAGAAAGGTTATATGCATTACGACCAGTAAGTGTTTATTTGTGATGTTTTAGTGACCAGTATGGTACGTACCGACACCTTCATCAGAGAAATGACCAGTGAAGCGTATGTACACAAAGATGTAAAATATGTACAATTTGACAATATATAATTAAATTTGGATATGCTATAAGCGTACGGACAATTATAATGTACTACATGTACGATACGTCACACATAAACACTTGTTGGTTGTGATATATAACATTTCTACAAATGACTGGGGATAGTAATGTGTTAAAAGATTTGTTTCATTAGGTTATGAAAAATCCTAATACCATTGACAAAACAGATAATAAAGTAAAAGGCCTTTTAGACCCCTGTGACTTGAAAGTAGGTCGAGGTCATTTTCATTTCCAAAAACTTTGTTGGGCTCCATCATAGGACGCTACTGACAAAATAGCATGACTCTAAGCATTTCGGATCTTTAGAAGAAGTCGTTTGAATGTTTTGAACTATTTGAACCCTGTGACTTAAAAGTAGGCCAACATCATTTTCATTTGCAAACTTTGTTGGGCTCCATCATAGGATGCTACTGGCCAAATATCATGACTTCAGGACTTTCGGTTCTTCAGAAGAAGTCGTTTGAATGTTTTGACCTATTTAACTCATGTGACCTTGAAAGTAGGTCAAGGTCATTTTCATTTGCAAACTTTAAATTTGTTGGGCTCCATCATAGGATGCTACTGGTTAAATATCATGACTTCAGGACTTTCGGTCCTTCAGAAGAAGTCGTTTGAATGTTTTGACCTATTTAACTCCTGTGACCTTGAAAGTAGGTCAAGGTCATTTTCTTTCGCATACTATGTTGGGCTCCATCAAAGGATGCTACTGGCCAAATACCATCACTTCAGGTAATTCGGATCTTTAAAAGAAATCTGAAGGTTTAGACCTATTTGATCCCTGTGACTTGACTTGAAAATAGGTCAAGGTCATTTTCATTTGAACAATGTGAATAGCCAGTGCTCCTGCAACCCAACGATGTCAGACGTCTTCAGGAATGATTCTAGGAATATCTGGTTTGTAATGACATTTTCGACAATAATTGTGGCCACTTTGATGTTGTGTAGTACACTGGATGACCTATTTGTCGTAGCTGCAGAGGAGTCAGGTTTTGTATGGTCAGTGGTATCGCCAGAGGGTAGTGTGACATCATTAGGGGAGTTTGGTCGGTCACAGCTGAGTGTTTGGGTGGTATGGTTGCAGGTTTTGGGTGGTGCCTGTTTCTTCTTCTTGCCAATTTTTCTTTGGCCCCATCCTGAAAAATGATTCTGTTCATTATTGGTGGTTCCAGAGTCTTTTTGTTGTTCTGGAATGGAGTAATGCATAGGGGAGTCATTCTGGTTCTGTCAAGCTCTTAGTTTGGGTGGAGAGCAGTCTCTCGTGTGGGTATTAGGGTGATCTTCAATAACCACATGGCTGATCTGGGGACTGTCCCTTGATTCCACTTGTGGTGTTACTTCAGGTGGTGCTGTCCTTTTATGTTCTTGCATAGGCTAATTGTTTAGATTCTTATTAGAGTTGTGTGGTTGTATATTAGTTGACTGGGTTGTGCTGTCCTGGAGTCAAGCATTGGTGTTATGCAGCTGTTTAATTTTCATCCCCATCATACTGTTCATTCTGTTTTCAAGCATGTCCATTCTCATAGATAGTAATCCTGACTCCATTTTCTGCATTCTCGACTCTAAATATTTGTCGCTGTGTCTGTCTTGCATGCTGCTCACATTTCCTGGAAGTTCCTGGGCTCCTGTAGTGTTTTTCAGTTGTAAGGATGTCCTCAGTTCAGTAATCTGCTCCTCCAGACTAATGGCGTATGCCTTAGAAGATGCCAACTGCTTTGACAGGTTTGCTATCTTACTCTCTTTTACTTTGAGTCTGGCTTCCTTTTCCTGGATGGAATTTTCTCTTCTGTCCATTTCCAGTTTCTGGGTGCGCAGCTCCTCAATGTCACAGTGATATGGATTGTCTGTTGTCTTGGTCAACAAGTGTGAGGTGGTCATTGTAAGTTGTAGCGGCATTACTGTCGTTGTTGTGGGTAGTGATCGTCGGTGGAATGTTATCGTCATCGCTCTGGACAATTTCAGGAGGTCTTGCTTCGCTGGATAAAAGTGATAATACTGAGTGGTGGCAACTCTTGCAAGTATATTGACGATTAGTGTTTTCCCATTCTCCAATTTCTTTTGGTGATAGCCCTTCACATCTATAGTGGAACCATTGGAGACAGTCCTCGCACATCAGTGAAAGTTCTGTGCAGACTTCATTGCAGTGTGGACAGGTTGCATTCTTGATCGAGGTATTACCTGCAGCTATGAGTACCTAAGGATCGGTTTCGCTGTCACTATCAGTGAAATCTGGTTGTTCCTCGATATGTGTGAAAGGAATCAGTTGTTCCTTGCTTTGATATGGTTTGCCAATAGTAGAGCTGGGTAGAGTCTCAAGCTCCGGCCCCGCTTGTGTATGGGTAGGCTCAAGCTGGTTGGGTGTGGCCTGCCTACGATCATCGCCAGGTGGTTGCTGTTGGGTGGCACTGGGTGCTGTGAGTAGGCAGCCGGTTGACATCTGACTGTCGGTGTTGTCTATTTGTTGTTTGACACCAGATATTGGTACCTCAGTTGGTCTTCCTCTCATTTTCTATTCTCTACCTTGCCTTAAGTTGTTCATCATTTGAGCAGATTGTTCCTTAATGTAGGCATTTGCTTCCTCAAAATTGCCGAGAGAGCCGACAGTGTTCATCAGGTTTGGGAGGTGTTTTTCGATAAATAGTCGTATTTTGGAACCGTTCACACTGATCACGGAAGTTGTTAGATGGACGTTTATTCTATAAAGTTGTTGAGATGTTGTCTTGTCTTGGATGGATATAGACTCATTTACTGAACGTTGCTTGTTTTACTCTGTGTTGAAAATCACGACCTTCAATTATGTTTCGGTAGGTGCCGGTCCAGGTTTTTGATGATATGCCTTGTAGCTTCAAACATGGCAACTACTAGGTTGTCTCCACTTTTCATCTCAACCTTTTCCACCTGCCTCCCTGAGGCTTGAATCTTGTTGTTGAGTGCTTTCTTCACATTCAGGTTATAGTTTGCACTGGTTGATCTGTCCTTCGAACTGTTGACTGAGTAGGGGGAGTACGGTATAGGTGGCTTTTTGTTTCTACTAGAGGTGCGCGTTCTGACAGCTGACATGGTTGCCATAGCGGAGGGTACACTGATCCCGCTCAGTGATAAGTTCATAAAAATACCAACAGTTAATTCTTGATTGGACATCACATAGTTCAGTTGTTCTCAGCAATATAATATACTGACATTGTTCAGCTGTGTTCAGACCAGGTTCATAGTGACTACTCTGTATCTAAATAACATTGGCATATAAAAAAATCAACAGTGTTGTGTGTATTATTTACAGTACAATGCTAAAATACTAAAATACTAATATAGTTGGGATTTAAAAAGTCTAAACCTACCAGTTAGAACTCTAAAACTACTGGAGAGGATAAAACAGATATTTTATGGTAAAATTACTGTCCTGCTATATGCATGCATGTATATGTAAAAGATTCAGTTGTTTACTGATTCTTAATTACCACTGCAGTTTTACTCATGAAATAGGACGTTGTTCTTTTATATCTGTTTCATATTTATGGGTCGGGTAGGGCTTTTCTACAGCGTATGCTTCCTGTGGATCAGTCGCTACTCTCTGTCTGTCTGTTTGTTTACATAGCCGTATCACGGACTTAGATAATCTAATTCCGTGGCCGTATTAAGCAAGTTATCGGTTAGTTGTGCCTAACGAGATGGGAAACGGAAGTAGAGACCGGAAGTTCGGCTTCATCTCTTACTTTACTCTGCATTAACGGTTTGGCCAATCGTAAAAGCGGAACTAATGGAAGGGGCTATAAAAGATCATGTTCTTGAGTTGCTCAGTGTCTTGACAGGGTCGGTGAACCGACCCACAGCTTCAGGTGAGGTAAACCTTACCGCTTCATGCGCTGCTAACAGTGCAACCTAGGCCAAGGTGCTGCTAACAGTACCAATACCTAACTACTATGTGGAGTTATCTTTCCTTGGATTTAACAGTATAGAGTGCTATAGGAACCACTGTATATGTATGAATGAATAGTCAGGGGCTTCGGGCTTAGACATCGATACATAGTGGTTCGCTGTAGATCTATAGGTATCTAGGGGTACTTGCTTGTAGTTTACTGGTATTGGTAGTACTATTAGGCAGGATAGGCCATTGTTTTACATAGGAATTGAGTTACTTAACATAAGCTGTCACTGTTCGACGCTAATTTTATGATCTTCCGTTGTTAAACTTGTTATATATATTCATTCCGTCTTGTTAATAAACAGTTACTTGTATTTTAAACACCTTGTTGAGTCATTGAATCAATTGCTGGTATTACCACTACATCCAGTGTTCGAACCTGTGGTGAAAACAGGTCTGTAACCTGACGAAAGAGGCTAGGTCTAGAGAGGACTGCAGGGGAAGTTGTCGACTCGTTACCATTGCTAAAAACTATACGATCACGAAACGGATTTGACGGAGTGACAACGGATGCAAAACCCTTTCCGGACCTCCCCCTATTACAGAATGGTGCCTCGACCAGGATGTAGTTGTGTAAGTACTGATGCATGATTCATGATCACTTTGTTGTTTTAAAAATAATACATATTAGCGGTATTTTGTACACAAGTTTTATTGGTATAATTCTGAAGTTGTAGATTCTCTATTGAAGGATACTCAAGACCTCTGACAATAGACAGTCTACTAGAGTAAATTTGCCATTTATTTGATAACCAATTTGTAAGTGGGTGGGGTTG